TCCCTGATTACTGCTAGGTGCTTTTGACTTTACTTGTCCCTCAAGTTCGCCATTTCGCATGAGACTGCCCCTACTGGCTTCTGTTAACGTACCCTTCTGAAGTCGTAGCCTTATCTGACATTTTGCTCAGAAGCCATCAATCGATGTCTCTATGTGCAGCCGTTAGGGTCATCATCGTCGGGCTCTTTCGAAAAAGATTACTCTGTGATTTTTCTGATTTCCAGACAGTCGACAATGGTCAGATTAACCGAAGTGGATCTGGTTCGATGTGTACTGATCGGTGACGATGAATCCGGCAAAGAATTGATGATGAAGAAATACGCTGCCTACTCGGGAGTTCCTTACAACGCTGAGGTAAGTTGTTGATTTGTTTCCAGGAGCTGTTTGCCTTTTCTAAATGTCAGAGGAGCTGTAAAGCACAGTATCCTGGAAGCGTGGTCAAGACTGAAGGCTTGGGTGATATCACCGAGAGAATTTTCGAATTTCACTTTCACTAGCTGACTAGGGTGGAGGTAGCGTGTACTAATTGGTATAGTGGGGGAGAAAATCTAATTTCGGATCCATGCTTAACTAGAGTAGCCAAGACTTTGAACCTTCCGGGTCCGGGTTCAATTAATTGGTACCAGACTTGCCCAAGAAAATGGAACTATTGAGGTGTTCACCGGATTGCTCCCAACACTCATTGTATAGATCATGTTTGTATTCAAACATCACTACGATATCAAACCAAACTCGAATTGGTGGGCGCATTGAGGAAGAGATTAAGCAGTAACATGAAATCTACTCTTATCCTGCATCAAAGTAAACATTGATCGCTGACTCTTTTCGCCTTTTTAATCTCAAAAAGCTCTTACGTTGGCCAAATTCTCTATAATTCTAAGTAGTACATTCCTGAACTCTCTGAATTGTTTTTCACTCGTCACTGCTAATTTAAGTGGACTGAGTGCACAAAGTTAGAGTACATAAGGTCCAGGAGCCGAAATATGCTCTTTGACTACTCGATGGGTGCACATGTAGTTTTAGAACAGTACTAATTTTCTTCCCAGAGAAGAGAATTTGGCCTCGCTGATTCATAGAAATGAATTTAACCCAACTACACAGCTTCCATGCTGGTAGTACATGGCTGAACAGCTATTGAGAATTTCAGTACCAATTGGGGTCTTGGTGGGGTAAGGGATAAACAGTACCGAGGAAGTATAGTTACCCTTGGGAAGATTCTCGGGCTTGTGAACTCAAAACTTCCCTTATAAGATCTACGTTACTTTTGTGAATGCCACGATTCCCTCAACTACGGAAATAACTTTAAAAACTTGCCTGCTCTTCATTTCTTCTTCTCCTTTCACTACATTGCCCTCTTTTTCCACCTTGTTACAGTAAAACACAGCTCAGTATAACAGCGCCGTGACATTAATCTCAGCTTTCATCACCTAATTAGTCCACATCCTAATTTTCGTGTAGACTTCCAGTTTTTCGGAAATGTTATTTTTTTCATGATTTAAAAACAAACCACTAATTTATAGCGCGGCGAGGTCATTACCGCATTCAATGGTCGAAAATGCATCTTCGTTGATTCGTCGACTGCAGAACAGACCAATGAAGAGGCACATGTGTTCCTTCTGTGCGTATCGGTGGCCAGCCAAGCAAGCGTCGAGGAGACGGTTAGAATGGTTGGTTCAAAAGTTCTCATTTTATTTTTTGTATTCACCATTCTTTCCTTGGACACTAACTTGGTTGCGACCAGCTGTACTTCTGAAATAGCTACCAAGTTGAGCTGCTAATACAACTCATCTTATTTTTAAACTGTAGTGAGTACGAACAACAGACAAACCCCTCTCTACATATTAAATTAATTCACTTGGAACCAAAACAATTAACTTGAAGTATGCCTTCAGAAGGTTTACTCTGTCCCAGTTCATCTGTATAATCTATCGAAATGACAAAAAAAGGTGAATTGATATTATATTCAGTTATCTCTCGTTCATGAGAATATGCCCTAGAAATCGATGAAAAAGGCCCTATTTTTCGGTAATATTTATGCTCATCTATACTCTTTAGCCCCACTGACACCTCATGATAGCCGAAAAGGATGATCCTTGGTCATGCGTGGGTACGGGGATGCAAAGACAACAAATTTCTGATGAATATTCTAGTCTAAACTGGGCGTTGAACGACGTGTTGATGGCGATACGAAGTGTCATTAGGAAGTAATTAATATTTATTCCCGAAAAATCCGCGAGGCTTAGTGGGGATAGGGTCTTTTGAGTTGATCTCAGTGACCTACTAATTTTGCTTTAGCTCCACTAGTCTTGGAGGTATATTTATGAAGAATTTTGGAATGACTAGAAGTGAATGGCTAGGCTAAAGGTGGACTGGAGGGATGAAGCGAGAGGGTTCACTCACCAAATAGATTTACTTCTAATTCATTAAGTGAAGATGGCTTTACAAAGTGCTTACTAGGAAGTAATTGGTAAAGCATTCGTTGCCCAATCTGGGACTGAGTGATCTGGATGAATTAGTAGATAGTTTGAACAGATAGGATGAGATAGCTAAGGTTTTTGCGTGAAGTCAATGATATGTTTCCTGGACCAGTAACTCGTAGAAGCGCCTGTGATGGATTCCGGATAGACTCAATCTGAAAGATGGGTAAAGTAAAGGCCGATTGAAGGTATAAGTTGCAGTGATCTGACCACTAAATTTGTTTATAAACAAACAAAGGGCTCAAAGGTGACATACATAGTGCTTAGAGTAATGCGGTACTTGGATCAGCTATCATTTTAAGGTTTCTTAAAGAACGCGCTTTTAACTTTAGCCAGATAACTCGGTTGTGGCCTTCGGTGCTTAGAATTTACTGATGTTTCTATCAACAGCATCTATCAGCAGTAAAAATAAACGTATACCAAAGAAAGCCTGTGAGTCCTTGACCAGAAAACTCCTTGAAAAGGCTCAAATGATGATTTTCCTTTCAGATTCTCGACGCAGTCGTTGAACGTATCCGAGGTGTACCGTTTGTTCTTGTTGGGACCCAAATCGACAAAAGGCTATCGATGCTGATTAGTAACTACGGTAGCGGAGAGATTAAATATATGCCGATGCCACTGAATCAGGCCGAGTCCTTTGCGAAACGAATCGGTGCTGGAGCGTACTTCGAGTGCTCAGAAGTAACAGGGGTGAGTGACAATCTTATGTCATTTCAAAGATCGCACTCTAGAAGGAACAGGAACAGAGCAAACAAAAAACGAAATAAAACAAAGTATTCACCTGTATCACCTGTCGTCCAGTTAATCATCGATTCCCACGAGCGTGCCTAACTAACGCCTCCGTTCGTCTTGTCGAGAAAAAGTATTTGAATAAAGTCGTTCCAGGACAAAAACAGATAAACATTATTTGAAACTCCAATGAATTGTAGTACCGCTTCCTAAGTATTTCGTCGTTCCAATAAGTAGCCAACAGACCTCAACTAACGGTTCACTGTAAGAATGTGGTGTCGATGAGTAATGTATAATGGGGCATCCTCTCTCTTTCTTGCTCACCATTTGCTCAGGCTACGAAATAGCAAAAGAAAAAAACAAAAGAAAAAAAAANAAAAAAAAAGAAAAAGGGAAAAGGGAGTTTCAGAGAGACAGTACATAGTTAGTGCTTCTCAATGAAACTTTTGCAATGCCATGCTTCATCTCGACCTCAGGCTAGTTTTAAATGTTTGTAATGAGGAAATGTTGAGCGTTTAAAGACTCGTTCATAGTCGTTTCTGAGAAGGAGTGATCTCTTTTACTCGTGAAAAGATTGTATTTGTTCTGAGCCCCTTGAATTCAGTGTATATGAATTGAATTACATGTCAATCATTTTCAGGAAGGTCTCGATGAAGTTTTCGAAGGTGCATTCGAAGTTGGTCACCGGTATGCATTGGAACAAATGAAAGGAATGAACCGGAAACTTACACAAGACCAAGATATGGAAACTGAAAAACCTGGCTGTATTACGCAGTAGGGGGAGAGTCAGCAAGATCTAAGTTGTTTGTATATGGCCTGTATATGTATTTGTATTTTTGCATAAAAACATTTGAGGGATCCCCACTATCATTTTTATTTTTGTCAAAGAATACCACCTTCAGAGTCGCCGAAAAGGCCCTAGGTGTTGAAGGATGAGATTAAGAACCAAAAAAGGAAGTAAAAAAGATAACAAGAAGGTAGAAAATTTACTCTGTTTCACTAGGAGAGAAGCAAGTTCATAATTGAGAATGGGAAGATGGCCAAATCTGAATCATTAGGTACTGCACAGTTTTGAAGTGTTTACTTACCTAGAACGTATGGCCATGTCCCTCATCCTGCTGAGGCTTTAAAAGGGTGTTCTTCTCCTACCAACGGAAGATTTTCGAGTTGAAATGAATTCGATTTTAGCCATATGAGAAAATCCCTTATTTTACACGACTATGAGCATAGAGGTCGCCGTGCCGAAAAATGAGGACTCACTAAAGTTTCGATAAGATTCTTTTGGGCTTTTTTGCTGAGAATCTCGAGAATTTTGAGGCTGACAAGATAGGTACCGAGGAGCTATTATTGATGCGTATTGATCAGCAGTGTCCGAGATAAATCTTGGGATAATAGGAAGAGCAAGGGGAAAGAAAATATCATTGATGGTCAGAGATTGAAATATGAGTTGCTCAGCTATGATCTTAACTTCCCGCCAGATCAGATCGATTCACCTGACCCCAACATGACAGTTCGCAGGGTCCAGCTACACACTTCCATCTGTTCTTGCCTACTTTTTCAGTACTATCTTTCCGTTCAACTTCCGCTACTATTATTTTATTTCAATTTAATTTTACGTCTGTGGCTTCACCCTGCTCAATTTCCTATCGCTAGCTAGCTTGGCTTTCATAAATAATGAATGCATAGTGCATGGGATGAGCTGAAAAGTCGAGTTGTAGTGGGAGCTGGCTCAACCGAGGAACTGACCGTCGAGCATACTTTTGTAGCAATCAAAAAATAAAATTATTATATCTCCAACACCTACTTGGTCGTTCATCTCATTGCTCGCTGCGACTTCGAATCCTTATTTATTTCATTTCCTTGTACTTCCCTCATAGTTTTTCCCT